TACTTAACAGCGATATTAAGAACTGGACATGGGAGCTAAGTGTGGATCCTAAAGTCCATTACTTTTCTTCCATCTAGCGCAGCTCGTCAGTCTTCAAGATCCGGAGCACCTGTTCCACGAACAGGCCGCTGCTTGGCGGGAGTTATGGGAAGACGGCTACCTCTGCTTTCATGGTAGCCAGGGCGAGGATGCATCTTCGACTCGATTAAGTCGCATTCTTCATACTGCTCAGTACAGCTTACTTACGTGCTTCCCTTCAGTCAGCCAACCGGGATTTATGCATCAACCGTCATGTGAATTTTATGGACTATGCCCAACCGGTTTAGCCCGAGGCAATGAAGAAGATGACTATATGGTGAGTGAAGCAGAAGAATGACTACCTGCCTCCAGACTTCTAAAAATAGTGTCCTTCGTATATTTCCTGTTGATGAAATTGTCACCGCACTCTGTAGACGCCATGCAAAGTGTACAGAGGGTGTCGTCTGAGTGAATAAGACCGGTCATTTGCTTGTCGAATTGTTAAATAGGGATGGCAGTTTTGTTTGAAACTTTCCATTATTAATCATGAAGACATCTGTGCTATGTTTCCTAGCGGAGCTGAGAGAAGCATTGGTGGCTGTGCGTCGAGTAGCGTTGTGTTCTTGTGTTGGTTACTTGCGTTCTCCGTAGTCAGTTTCCAAGGCTATCCAGAATGAACTTGGATGCAATCGTCTGCGGTTGAAGCCTCAGTTGGGTGCGCGTTGCCTTCCAATTTTTGTGAAAGAACACTTCCAGCTTTTCGCTACCAACAATTTCCTTTCCGTTCTCGTGATAGTTCTGTTGCTCTCAATTTTTGGTTAATATGTTGTTGTGAAATGTGCAGTCTGCTTCCTTCCACCTCTGTTGGAGTTCTCCAAATCGGCTTAAAGGGGATACGTCGCGTGATTTACCTCGTTTCCGCCGTTATTCGAACTCACACGGTCTGTGTAGATTAGGTCCATCTGTGAACTGTTTTGTTAGCTTTCGGGAACTGTTGTCCTTAAATCCTTTGATTGCATACAAGTATTCAGGAGTGGATACTTTCCAAGGCAATCTTTCTGCATTTCTGTCACTCTGTAAGGTATGTCGTAAGGAAAATTGGGTTAGTGCGCGCGCCAGAAGCTGAGTGGCATCCCCATGAATGCTCTGTTTTCGCGCGGTATCAACTGTTCGAAGCCCAATCTTACACCATCGTAGTATATCTTGTTCTATAGAAGAAACCAACTGTAGGATGTTACTCACTAATTTTCGCACTAATGTATACCTCTGTATGTCATTGCTCGTCACTGGTTAAACGGCAAATTTATGTCGTATGACACCTTAGTCCGCTTTTGTTTTCTTCGGCCTGCCGCTCTTTGAGATCCACAACTTCACTAATTTCAACGGAACGCTTGAGATCGTCGCGCTCTCTAGGGTTGAAAGATACATTGCAGCTATGAGTTTATGTTCCCATTAAGGTCAGTCAGAATAAAATGTTCTGAACATAAGCTACTGAGGTGTTGGCATTAATCAGCTTAAAACATAATAATAAAATAAACAAATCACTCAGCTGTAGCACCCTTTCGGTGCCTAGCTGCCATGCCAGGAAGGAGGCACGAGGGCTGGGATACTGCCAGGTTGCCCAAGTCTAGACAGGGGAAGTCGAGGGCCACGGACCTTCCGGTCAGTAAATTTGTGCTCTAACCGCTTGGTCCATCTCGCCCCCAGCTTAAAACATACTTCAATATAAGTGTGTTCATCGCACCCGATGACTCACACTTGGTTCTATTGCGCTTACACACTGTAATGCGGTTACCTAGCGTAGTAATAAGATGTTTCAGGACTTTTAAATCAATGGTTTTTCCAGCATTACCTGGGTTTCTTTGAATATGAAATCCCACCTTTTGTGCTGTTAGATTCACTCTTCAAGTTTATCGGTCGTGACACATTTATTCTATTGTGAGTTTTGTTTCCGAAATATTCCTGACGTAGTGTGGATAGGTTGCATGAATGGCCTTGTTTCTATATTTCTTACCTAATTATGCCCCAGCATTCGGTGTGGACGATATCCGAAGGACTCGCGTTATGGGTAATGTGCGCTGAAATCCGAATGTAGTCTGCTACAGCACTCCTTTCCGTCCCTGGAGGGAACACTGGAATGTTTCCCTGAGGAGAGTTCTTTTTTAGGGTGTACGTCTATTACATGCACTGGGGTTGTGAAATCTCCGTCTTCTTGGGATGCTTTAAAGGGCTTTTGTAAGAGTGATCGATTCGGTTGACGTAAATACGATTACTCTTCAAAGATATTGTCTATCAGCAAAGTGGTGATCTTATGTCATGGTTTTCAGCCTCTGTCATCTGAGTCATCACGAACAGACAGTTTTTAAACCATTTCGTGCCATTTTTGTATTTTGAATATGAACCAAAAACATGACGAGTCGCCACAATGCATTTGACTGTGATGTTTGAAACTTTTGTAGTAACGACATTTTTCTCAGCTTAGTTTTCGGCCTGAGCCTCCCAAGCTAGCATTCCCGTCAAAAACAACCACGTAAGGCGCACAACGTATATTAACTCCCGAAACGAAGTCAAGAACACATGTACAGTGCTTCCTGTATGTAAGCGGCGACAACTTTCCGAAAATTTTGACACTGGATGCAACATTAGCAACTGACATTCGGCCAGTACTGGGTCATGATTGGCTGTTGGGTCCAGGCATTCGACCAATCAGAGCTCGCCTTGATGTCGGACCGACAAGGGGCCCAAGCTTTTGGCCAATATTGTGCGGTATAGGTTTCGCGGCTGTAGCAGTGCCTAATTGCGACCGGTATCTGTGGGGGAATTCTACTTAACGTGTTTGTTGTTGAAATGAGATTTGCTCGTTACCTCGTCCCGTGTTTCGATAACTCGTTCTGTGCATCGTTTTCGGGTAAACGCAACCAAGTTAAAAAGGGGATTTTGGTGTAACAGTGCATCAGCAGTTTGACGGCTGACAAACCTTGGCCAAAGGGACAGATATCACTATCGTGGCGTGTAGAGCACATGAGTTGTATGGGAAGCAGATTTTTTGCCTTATGCTAGGGGAAAAATACTATTCAGAGGATATTGCAGTGACAGAAAAGTCAGGATCGTCGAAATAGTTACCTAGATGGAAATATCTGTTGGTGGATTTCTTTGTGAGTGCATCGGCTTGATTGCAATTATTTGTTTTGTTGTGTGGTGAGCTCCAAGCTGGACAACACCGGTAATAGTCCATTTGAACATTTTAAACGGTCTCCGTAAAGTTGCTACGTGGGGGACTCTTGGGTACAGGGTTTTAATTTGTCGGTGTTGTTGTTGTTGCCGTTAGATCTGTGATTGCTTGTGTCGGAGTCGACAGACAGTGTTATATTTCGTCTTCTCATGAACGTGCTTGTTTTGTTCAGGGGCACGTGTTCTGGGACATGGAACTTTGGATGTTGCCTTGGATCAATCTGTTTCATCCACAGCTGTGTCGTCTCTCACTGGACTATCGGTATGCAATGCTTCCATTGGCTAGGTATCGCGCAGTCAGCGAGGGCTTTGAAGGTGCACGTTTTCCATGGGAAAGTGCCTTTACAGGTAAGTTCAGGAAAGTATCTTCCGCCTACATGTTTGCTATTTCGTTTGGTGAGCCCTGCAATTGTTCAGTCTCCGTCTGAAGGTCTGTATTCCTCTACGTTCCTTGGTTGTTTGTGCCTATTTTTGTGCTCATCGACTCTGGTGTAAATTTCTATGGCCGTCTGTTCTCATTGTAAACCTATTCCCTAATTCTATCATTCAATCGCATCAGTGCAGACCAGTGTTTCCTTTCTGGAATGCCACCCGCTTTGAAATCCTTTTAGTGACTTCAGGTGCCCCCGGTTTATATGGAACGATGGGTGTCTCCGATGGGCGTAGCCACTGCTCGCAATATCCTTCCGAAAATGAAAGTACTTCTCCGACGTCCAGTTCAATTTTTAATTGTGCCATAATTCTCAATGTTAAAAATCCTGAGGGAAATAAATTTGACTTTAGACCCCATTACAAGCTGCACAGTAGTGATTGGATATTCTTGTTTCTCTCACAGGCAATTTCTTGAAAACCTGTGTTCACCTACGATCAATGGTGGAACACTAGTCTATTGCTGTGATTTTCACCAGATAGTATAAATATCGTCGCGAAGCCTACAAATAAGAGGCTTTGTCTAGTTCAAGAGTATTTCAAAAGCGCCACTTCAAAATCACCACATCTCGGTGATGACCGAGCAGTTTTGGACGCTTAAGTGTTCAAAAGTCTAACTCTACTCCCTCAAACTATTGATGCTGAGACATGCTTAATTGCGAGGTCGTGGAAAAGGGCCAACTAAAACACCGTATAGCATCTCAGCCGCTGCTGTCTAGGCTTGGGCAGCCTGACAGTACCTCAGCCTTCGTGGGTCATCCGGGTGATATGGCAACTACGCACCGAAAGTACCGTAGCGGAACGATTTTTTCACTGCATAGAATTTACAGATACATCAGTTGAACTGCTTCCGTTCACCACATTTCAGACGTAAACCGACACGGACTTTTTGAGTTGATTGTTCTTTCTATCCGCACTTCGACATTTCTACTATTGCGAGGCTTGCGAAAACGATCTTTGACAATCGGAAACGGTCGCACAGTTCGTTCGTAAGAATGTGCAATTTTCGGGCGTATCTTAACCTGTCGATCACGCGCTGCATTGTCGCCGTTAACTTGTGCATATCTTGGAATCTTTACTTACTGGACTGTTGATAGTTTTAGCTTTAACGAATGGATTTTCCGCATTGGTTTGTTGTGACTGGGTTGGTCTGTATGCGAACGTAGCTGGTCACGTCGAAATGATGCTTATGGTGTTGTCGCATTAGCCGAACACGTGTGTGTTGCGTTGATCCATTAAGCTGATTTGCTAATTGCGCTCTCAACTATTCACCATTTCTCGAAGGTCTCGAAACAACACCCTGGGATCTGGCTGCGCAAAATCAAATCCACGTAGTCGGCGCGGTCTCTTTCGCCATTGGACAGTGGCTGACTACTCACTCACCTTGTAAAGGCAACTCCTTATCGACTTATTCGGACACTGCAGCGTTTCCCGTTTCGTCGTCTGCTCATTCCCCTGATGACCCCGTAGAATGGTACCGGTATCGTGGCCGAATCTTACTGGAAGATATTGCTCGGTTTTGGTCTTCGAGAGTGCAGTACAGCTCTACAAAGGAAGCCTATGAGATCGTCGGTTGGTCACTTGTTTTACCGAACGTAAACTTTCGTCATTCTGATTTGATGTGTAATATCTCGCCTACTGATGAGGAAACAATGGGACAATGTGTTTTCTTTGTATGTTACTTGTTCCCATCAGCATTGGCCGCGGGCAAATACGGGTCCCGAGGGCAGCACTTACAGCCTATTGCCTATAAGACGCCGGGTGTATTCCGATAAACTTTTGTCTAGTAATTGAAATTCGGCATTCTTTTTCATTTGGCGACCTTGAAGATATCTCTGGCGCGGAAATTGAAGCAGAAGGGTTATTTCGACTCAAAAGCTAGTTTAAACGATCATGGTGATACATATCGAACTTCGCTAATTTTCCGGACAGAAGTCTAGCGTGATTACCTTGCTGGCCTGTGGATAGTTCACGCCGATCAGGTGTAGGCAAAGCTGCTCACCTGATAGCATTTATGAGACTGATTCTCGATGAAAAACCCTGATAACTTTTTCGGCGCACTGTTGTCGTTAACTGCTCAGTTTTTTAATACCAGGTCAAACAAAACCAATTAGCTTGACAACATGGCCTAATTCAGCGGCAGTTTTTTCTCAGGTATCATGAAGTCACATATCTAGTGTTGATAACCGGAATTCCGTGAAATTTCGCTTAGTCTGCACGCTGTTATAGTTTTAAGGACGAAATACCTGGATTTAGTTCTAGGAGCCTTTCAGTCATGTTGCCGATTTGCACTGATCACTACCCTTTCCTTTTCGTCCTGTGTTTCTCGCCTTGTTAGATGTAATGCCGCCTGACGAGTACACGCATTGCTGCCGTAACTCAGCCTACACAAATACCATAGCTTCTCTATCACTGGCGGCGCCTGCTGTCTTTGCTCGTTACTACGGTGACCCGGTTCCAGAAGAGTATTTGGACTGGGAGAACAAGGCAAAGAGCTTATGGATGCCGCGGGATACCGTAAACAAAGTCATGTTGGAACATGAGGATTATGTTCTTGGTAAGCTCAGTTCAAATATCAACTAGGCTCGAACAGTAATCTGCTGCTTATTCTTCTCCAGCTGCACTAATACTGGGCCTTTCCTGCCTCATTCCCACTCTTATTGGTCTTCTCAGGCACTTGTGTCAAACAGGCTGACACAATACTTCTGACTTATCCACTTATGTACAACCAACCTGAAGCGTGGAAACGCAACATGGTTGATTTGTATGCCAAAGTACGTCCACCCTAAACGTCCATTGGAGTGCGTACCACGTTTCCTGCATGTCTGTGTACTTAGCTGAGTCCATCCGCCTCACTTTCCACCCTTCAATAGCTGGATGTGAATCACTGCCGTATTTCCCATTATATTGCACCCGAAGCCGACTGTCTGAATGTCCTAGTGATTCATGCCAAATGGTGGGAACCGTTTTGCCGACTGCCTGAATGTTCTAGTGATTCATGCCAAATGGTGGGAACCGTACTCTTTCCTGACGTTTTATTCAGCATGCCGTCAGGTCAGCTGTACAGACCCCAAGATGACACTATGCACGTCCTGTTTACGCCTTAATCACAAGTGACTGCTGCGCGCTTACATGTTGCGTTGGTGCAGCACTTTCTTTCAAATGCCTTTCTTGGCTGTTTGCCTCCTTTGGCCAGTTAGATCACCAACTGGACTCGAAGCGTCTCAGGGATCCAGGCGCCACCTCTCATGTTAACAACCATTGGTTTCCACGCACCAGTCTATTTCTGTTTCCCTTATTAGTCTTGGATACCGAAACAATTCAGCCATCGCACTCCTCAGCTGACATGGCAGGGCATAGTATCACGGGTGAATCGTTCGACTCTTGTTCGCCAACGACCTGAAGTGCTATTTGGTTCCACATGTATCTTCCCAAAGTTAATTCACCATCGACTGGCCTACGCTTGCAAACTACACGGAAAACTCGTCTCCCATGCCCTTGCTCTGTAATACCGCTTTCCATGTAACATTCGCCAACCTAAGTTGCTAAAATTTTCCTTGTCACAACCTCAATCCTGCTCCTGATAGTATTGACAAAGACAGATTTTATAACTGGACATCGCCCTTCCTTTTGTTGTATAGGTTACTGATCCCAACGGCCCAGCGATGACGTGGTCCATATTCTGTATTTGCGCTTTGGAACTAAAGGTATGTGGTTTCTTCATGAACTTTTTGGGTCACTTAGTTGTGACTCAGCTGTTGTGTCGGACGTACTTCGGAGTCCCTCACCGGTGGAAGGTATAGGTATCCGGCGCACACTATTTTCGTTTCTCAGCGATTTCCTCTATCGTTTAGCAACGGATAATCTGTTTTCTTTCTAGGAATTCGACCGCTCAATGGACTATTTCGAACGAAGTATCGAGCATGTCCATGGTCCCTTCCTTGTAAGTGGTGAGCTACCAGTGTGTTCAATCATTCGACTTTTCATACCGTTTCACTAGTTTTCATGTACCCCTTCAGCATATAGCGACGCCACTTTAAAGGTAGTCTGTCTTACAAGTTTCTCGCGTCTGTAGCGTGTCGGCTGTGAATTCCCACCTAGGTCGAGTGTGTTCATATTCCTTGTAGCGAGTTAGCACTCCGTCCCTTAATAACGTAGTCTTTTAACCTGGAAAGATCTTTTCGGTAAACTTTTTACGGCTATGCGGCATGATGATGAACCGGTTGGTGACCATGCTTACAAACTCACTTCTTGATATCATCGTTGGTATGTTGTCAGTGGTGTCTGCTTCCCGACAGGTTCCATCTCTCCGGCCTCGACTCATACAGAGCTCTTGGCCATTTTCTGTTTCGCATCATCTAGAAAACGTCTCGAGTCGGACATAGCGCTACCATAATTTATGTGAGTCTTACCGCTATCGGGACAAAATTCCATGGTTACCGTTCTCATTGGGAACCTAATGTGATATAACTTTTTCCAGATTGTTCAATTCTGACGCAAAGTGTGTTCTTTTCCGTCAGATCATATATCAGATGTCTGGTCATTCCTTACTTCTTTGTTCTGTGTTTAACTAAGGGTTGGACCGAGGTTCGCGATGGTAGTGGAGCTGCAAATTTCCTAACCGGTGCTGGTGGATTCTTACAGTCAATCGTCAATGGTTTTGCAGGTGTTAGGATATCTTTAATACCGCATCCGCGCAGTAAACCTACATGCCCCGACTCCGTTCACACTGTGGCGGCCTTATTCCTAACCCCATCTGTTCCGACGAGATTCGCACAGGTTGTGTCAATCATTCGGCTGCAACATCTCCATTTCCAGCAAAGAACTCTGACTATTCACATCGATTTGACGGAGCAAAACGTTACTCTTGTGTTAACACAGGGACTACCTTTGAGTGTGGGGCGACTCTCAAGAGATAAGCACTGGGTGTTTGATGCCTTTCGACTCGACAAAGATATTCCACTTCAACTACAATTCCAACCGCTGTGTATTATTGGAACAGATTTATTGGACGATATTCCAACCATTGCTGTTGATGTATGTTAGACATTCTCTTAGAAGCGTCGAATCCGATTCGATGGCTGTTTCGTTACTTATGTTTACGTTTAACAGCCATTATTTTTACTCCCAGGATAAAATTTTAAAGTTGCCTTTTTGCCTTTCATTGACTTTTCGCTTTCCACTTCTGCGATGATCACAGACGATCGACCGAACAGGGAAGGATACGTTCATTTGGAACTCTGGCTAAAGCGCCTCACAAACGCCGCTAAGGCTTTGTTCCGCTACAGAATTGTAAGGAAGACGCACACATTTACATCTTACGACAACCAGTTTTGACCGGGAGATAGTTTCCGATGCCAGGCAGTGGTAAACTGCAGCTGTGATGTTGGCGTTGATACCTCACAGCTCACGATCCAAATCGCTTCAGCCCATGAAATCTGCTGTTTCAGTTGGGTCATTGTTCGAGAACTGTCCCGACAGAACACACTAGTTATAGAGTTGGTGAAAACTCTTCGACAGTCCACTACTGGTTTGGTCCTTCTTGGGGCTCATCAGGTGGGCTTACTTCCCGGATTTTTATCGACTTTCTACTTGTACCTAAACAGTGCGGGTTTCGCCAAATCCACTCATTTGCACATCAATTTGGTTTTAACAGAAAACTTAACTGACTCTTCGAGTTTGCAGAAGCCTTGTGAGTAGTTTCCTTTATGAAAATATACTGCGATATCTGGATCGTGAGGCGGCCTGTGTGCAGCATATTTAGTTGTAGAATATCACAAACAAGAGATTCAGTTGAGTCTCTTGTGAAAACCAAATTGATTCGTAAATGAGTGTATTGCTGCTGTGGGCTGTTTCTTATAAATTAAGAGCGTTACACTACACCGATTTCCCTCTTTCTGAAGAACGAGCTACAATAACTGAATTATTTCGGATGATGTTTGCTCTTAGTATGTCTGCTGCAGTTCATTCAACTCATGGATTGCAGCGACTAATAGGGCAGTTGGGTTAAATACCGAGAAGCTCCCTGAGGGAGGACATTTGATAATTTCGCTGGCTATGAACTCCGTTGGGTGGATGAGGGGTTTCCACAGATATGGAACCATACACATCTCAGCTAATGCCAGGTGGCTGGCAGTACATGAATCGCTCAGCTGTAGCACCCTTTCGGTGCCTAACTGCCATGCCACTAGAACGTGGCATGCGGGCTGGAATACTGCCAGGTTCCCCAGGCCTGGGAACTGGTATTTGGTGATGCAGTCGATAATCCAGCTGGAGAATGCATCCAGCGACAAGCTACAATATCACTGTTCGGCTGCTGAAAGAAGTTTTCTTGTGTAGCGAACACAGTGTGATGCATGCAGAAGGGTTGATAAGGTGACGTCGTAGAATTGCACGAAAGATGAAAGTCTGGATGTTATGAATTTCTTTCACGGTGTCTACGCGAATCACTGTTTCTTTAGCTTAAGGTAGCACGAGAGAACGTCAACGCATCCCTTTCGTTTCTATCTGGATTGTCTGACTGACTGTTCATGGCGTAAGCTTCTTGAAACGTTTTCGGATGAATGCGTCCGTAATTGAAGCGTCGAGTGAACTCCATATGTCTGTTCTCCAATATGATAAAAGCTGGATTGATCTGACTCCATGATACCTTAATGCACTGTTGTGGGGCTGTAGAGCGGAATTCAAGCCCACTACTTTTTGTGCGACTATGGATACACAGTTACTCGAGAAGAATAGTTATGACAAACAGTGACCTCTGATAGATTAACTTACTGCCGCAGTGCACAGTAATGCCCTTGAAGTCTGAATAGACTTCGTCCTTTTCCAGGGGTAGCTTGTCTCCAGAGGATCTTACACGGGATTGTTTTTTATGATAACTTTTCAGGAAAGCAACCCCTTTTAGGATACTGAATACAGTATTAATAAAAAATAGCCGTTCGACTATAACCTCCGTTCAGTGTCTAGCTTCAACAGTATCCGAAAGAAGCACGAAGGTCAATATACTTCCCAAAACTAGACGGGAGCTGCGGCATATCCTTGTCAGTTCTTTTAGACTCCCTTTAGCTTATAGGTTTTTGGGCGACTAATGACATCATTGAAGATCACAGAGCCCATCTCACTTCATTAAACTCTTTCGTATCCCATTATGCTTTCTAAACCTGTCTGACGTTTCGAGTTCTCTCATATTTAAGCCCACCTTAATACCCACAGTTTACACACTGCACTCAGCCCTGAAATACGCTATAGCTTAAGCGTCGCGTCATCTGGAGTAAGCCAGCACTAAGTCCCTTCCTCGTCCATCTTTATTCTTTTCTTCACAATGAGGCTCTCGATTAAATCATGGTTGTATGGCAGCGAAGCATCGGTGTTGAACACTGATGCCATGCTGTCGATTATGATGATGAACAACAAAAATAACCACTTCCTTGAAGTAACTGGACTTGACACAAAGAGGATGTAGGTGCGTTCTCGTTATATTCACCCAAAATGTGTCAACTCGGTCTGAGTGCGGCCAATTCACCTTGTCTACTTTAAGGAGCAAGTAGATTTTGTATTCTCTCTAACTACCACAACGCAAGATAAAATCAGGAAAACAAATCGGATCCAAAACTCAGTGAGCGTCGAGCAAAATAATAAAACAGAGAATGAAGAGATGAGACGATACCCGGTTTGTTTGCGTTTGAGACCTTCACTGATGCTGCAACTTCTCTAGTCTCGGCTGGGTGGTGCTCTTTCTCATCTTCATTTTGACATTCATCTGCGGAGCTTTTAGTCTCACATATGCGATTCAATGTATTCTTGTATCCGGAAGTGCTTTGCTCACATTCCCCATACGATATGTGTGGAACATCTCTTCCGAATTTCATTCTAGTTAGAGGGACGGTCAACCTCTCTTCTGATTTAAATTCCACTGGTTCCACTTCAGAAGGTAAACTTTCTTCGATGGCAGAATCCAAAGCATAGGTAATGGTCAAATCGATTATCAGCTCTAAGGCCGTTTCGCTGGTTTCTTCCTCTGTACCCGATTGCTTCAGACTCTCAGCTGCTATAGCAGTCATTCAGCATGACGGGTGCGTTTTCATCAGTTTTCGAATCCCGATCGATTCCGAATGTCACGTGAGCGAGTGTCTAGGTTCCATCTCAGTAGCCGTTACGAGAGTGAACTAATTCAGCTAAGTATTCACTCATCTGCATTGTATTGTAGTAAAATTGAGGAGCTAACCTAGTCCTCTACCAGAGATTCCCAAAAGATGAACTAATTGCGTATTGTTTACGTACATCATGCATAATCATACTAGAGGTATTGTCGAAATATTCATTCACTCGCCATGGCAGAAGAGACGAATCCAATCTAGCCAATATTTCATTTTAAGGAACGGTTTATGGTACCAAGCCCGTCACTCCTCAAGTATGGACAGGCGGTTAAACAACACTGTCGTCACTAAAGTTTTTCACGAAAATCGTATTTGCGAGCCGCAGAACGAGGCGTCAGTACCCTTCGCTGTTGTTATTAACTACGAACCAATTTCCGCACTGGGGTTCACATGATCATCTTATTTCAGTGGCGCCAAGTTTTCTCAAGAATACTCGAGCGGTGCAGTACACCTTAGGTTATCTTCGACGGGCTTATTGAGAACCCTTACCTCAGAGCTAGGAACGCGCGGGTGGGAGAAGATATCCAAATAACAAAAACTCGCCAAATGAAATGGGAAGTTTTTCTGTGCTCCAGATTGGATTATGTAGTGAGGTTTATTCTAAGTTTCCAGATAGACTAGAAAAGCGGAACAACTTCTCGCCGATAACTGAAGAGCCATTTTGGTGCCTTAGTTGGAACTGATGCCGACCAATGGTAAAAATTGCAAAAAGTGAATTAGATTCTGTCTGAATTTCAAAGGTTTATTGTCCCCGAATTTCCGCAACACTATTTACTGCGTTAGGGATTTGTGTTTGAAGTGGGCTTTAACCACAAGAGATTATGTTGTAGCATAAAATAAGTCAGCTGACACTGATGTACCATCAAAGCTACAGTAAAAATTCGGGACGCGTGTTTGGCTGCCGCAACACCAGCTTTCGCCTGAATTGTTGCATTAGCAGAAAAACATCCTTGATTACCTCGTAGGTTGTATCGATGCAAATAGAATTTCATTTCCACTTTCCTCGAACCCATCATTCAGATAGATCCGTGAAGAAAAGTCAAATATGTAATATGAAGGCTTGCCGGAAGGGGTCCAATGCACATAAGGCGCATAAAGCGCCAATTACGAACAGATCGAATAAACACCTTCGCAGTAGGTTGTTTATAGTTTTGAGTGCACTCTTCTGCCATGTTAGGGGTATAAATAAGCGTTTGGACATGGATGCGCACTCATCTTCCCCTTTGACGAAATTCACTTTGCCGCTCCTCTACAATCTCTCGTCGCTCCCCAAGGGGACAAGTCGATCTATCTGAGAAGCGCAGCGGTAGAGTGAGCGAGATTTTATCCATTCCAGTTAGCTACATCGAATAACCTCGCCAAATATACGTTAACTACCACAGCGCAGAATCTGGTGAACGGACGCTGACTACTGAAGATAACATTGGCAGTTCAGGTTGTATGAATGCTGTTCTGGTCGTTGACCTGGACATCTGGTCACCACCTGTCCACAACCGAATTAGCCAGCTCGTTGAACACATCAGTTTTCAGATATAAGCTATTTAGAAACCAGATTAGTGCTGTGATAAGAAGGCGCTGATAACTTTGCTTCAGCAGGTACTATCACACCATCTGCAGGATGTCACTGAATTTCACAAAGATACTGGCACTTGAGCGAAACATCCACAAAGTTCGTCCGGTCGGTTTCACAAATGGCAGCCCGTTGAATGTTCTGGACTTGTCATACAGAGAAGCTTGGAAACCGATTGAAGTAGACTTTGTAGATTGACGGTGTGGCTTCAATTCACACTACTGGACGCTACAACGGAGAATACGAGCAAGCTTAAACCGTTAATTTGTTCCCGTAGCTTAATTTGATAGTAGTTACCAGTTTCGTGCACGTCCAAACGATCTCAAGAGTTTTCAACGGTGGATTCTTGAATATCTGTTCTGCACATCCATCCGGAAGGCGGGCCTAGTATCTCAGCTTCCTGTACGTAAACCCAAACATCGGTTATTTCAAGTACCTCCTGATTTCAACAACTTTTTGACGCTCAGAAGGATGTGTTACAGTGGACTTTTGGTGTACGGAGAGCCTCAGAGAGTAATTCCACAGAAAACCTAGAACAGGTCCCCTGTAGAATGGACTCCCAAGTACCATTTCAGCAAACAAATAAAGCGTCACGATACAACACGCTTCTTAAATGTCACTGGTAGAAAGGTGTTCATGGTTCCATAGCTTGTGGCTGACGTGTAGCCATAACTTTGTAGCACGGAAAAACTCACCATAGGTGTTGTTTGGCAGGTTGAGAACTATACTAACATGTAAACTGTGTTCTTGTGCACGAGTTCTTTTTTCATGAGTAATGTTTGATACTACATACTGGAAGTTGGTGGGTACTGTTTCCGATGGGATGTCCATATGAATATTCCGTAACGGTTGACGAGTAACTTCCCTGGGGAACATGCTCACGATCATACAGATTATCCACATCAAACTACGGAAGTGCTGAAGTGTCATTCAACGTTCCTACCTCAATTTCAAGCTTCCCCCTATGTGGAGGTTCCAGATCCGGAACTTCGAGTCACCTGTAGATTCGCCAATCCCCAATATCAAAAGGAAGAACTAGGCTCGAAAGTCTATAGTACTGCATACATAAAGTCAACGAAAGTATACAAACCCTAACTACACACGTTCGTAGCGCCAACAAGTGTCCAACTATCACTAACCGGCGAAGCGCAGTGTCAAGCTCCGCATATCCGACAACGGAGAGCGGAATGCTAGTTCGGTAGTGTGGGTTGCAGTAGTTCCTTCTGAGGTCAGTTTCGTGGTTCTGATTGGCAGTGCGACCACACGGAAGTCGGACGAGTCAGAGCAGGTCCAGCAGAAGGAGATGAACACGCATGGGTAGATAGGTCAGTTACGCACATTCACACGCACGTACTAATACGCACCAGTATCGAACGGGACGGTCTTTGGGGCAAGGTGAATGGTGGGTACGGATGAGCAAAGCAAGTGAAGATCAAAAGTGAACAAGCCGAGTAAACAAATGGACAGGAGTCATCGTGATGTCAAACTAACTTCAATACTATTTGGTAGTAATGATACGACGATCATATGGATCGGGCGTGGTGGATAAATCGGTCGAGTCTCAGGGAGATACTATGGAGATTTTGGATAGCTTTTGTCATCAATTCTGTAGCGCCACTTGTACCTGTCTTCGGGCTCACTCTGCAACTACCAACGCTGGCTCAACAAATAACTTATTGGGAGGTGCACCACCAACTCCGTTGTCTCTGCATACTAATCTGATTCATCCTCAGTCCTTAGTGCTCTAGCGCCATGCGTTTCGACACAATTACCTGCTGTGTGCAGCTGCACTAGGAGTGAGACGGTGATGCCCTACCTCCTGCGCCCTTGGGCCAGGTCGGCCCCTACAACCAAGTAGGTCAGACCATTGAATCAGTGGCTCTGAGAAGGATCTCCGAACAAAACCCTACATCCTCCCACCGGATTGTGAGTCAGGTTTTTGAGCTGAAGGATCAAGATGGGGTATCTCAACTAAATCCCCTTCTTCGGCTTGGGCAGCCGGGCCTTTGCAGTTCTTTGCTCAGCGACCTCCCAAACTCCATCCCATCCGTACAATGCAGTACAATAACCAATCTGCAACTCCCCTGGCCACTATCCGGTGTCTCAACCGTCGCCCGGAAAAATAAACCAAAATAATCATTTACTAAACTCAAAGGATCTGATCCACTTCAGAACCCTTAATGCCCGCATTGTATGTCAAATCGGGCAACAGGTATTCCTTTCTGAAACTTTGTTTTCCCTCTCTATCGATCAAACCCACACTTCATGCTTGCAGGCTAGCCAATCGACGTGTTCACCTGGACATTTGTATAGTTTCCGGTGGACTGGCTGAAGATGAGATCATCTCTCAAATCGAAAAGGCCACAGCAGCTTTTGCTAACCTCCCACATCTATGGCGCCAACGTGACGTGAGTTTGTCTGTCAAGAGAAGAGTTAACACTGCGGTGGTGTGATCCATACTGATTTATGTATCAGAAACGTGGACATACGGAAGATATCAGTGTGTGGCCATCGGTATCCTCGAAACATTGGTCAAGTCTCGTGAGAACATCGTTTTAGAAATGCCCAGGTACGCCAGATTATGGAGAAGGCACTCTCCCACGATAGATGAACTACTCACGTTTCATAAGTTACCCTGGTTGGGACATGTACTCCGCATGCCAGAAGACCGTCTGTCTCACAGAGCTCTTTTCTTCCAGCCCTTAGCTGAGTGGAAGCGACCGAGAGGTGTACAGTGTATGACCTGGCAACGAAGTACGAAAACACTGACCAGTAACCTTAGTCGGGTTGGCAACTGCCGCCTCCATGGGGACCCCGGGACCCAAATCACCAATGGTTAATGACATTGGCAGAAATGGTCTGATCGCGCAGTCAGCGCTCATGCATCAAAGCTATCGCCTTCAATGTGTAGCAACAAAGTGATCAAGCCCTCGTTTCCAAGGCTTGGCTGAATGTCCTACACTCCCGTTTTCGTGATCGAAACTGTAGCAGCTGGAACCAATGTGCCTGTGGTACATGGTTTATGGCTGTTAAGTGAATTGATTAATTTAACTGGTTCTCCAAAGAGCGCACATTCTTCAGGACCTATACGTTCACTCGTGTGTTACGATTCCTATCAGTCCTCCTCACATGAAGGCCTGTGCACGTCTTGATGCGCGTTCCAGTAGTGTTCCACGCCTGCAATAGCAGTCGCTGTTGTGCAGGGCAAAAGGTCCTTTCAGCTGCAGTATCTTTCGGTGCCTAACCACGTTGCCACCAGAAGGAAGCATGAGGGCCGAGATACTGCCAGGTTGCCTGTTCTGTTCGTCGATAATGACTAATATAGTGTCAAGGTGGCGCTTGTAAGTCTTCATGTGATTTACGTTGTAACGTTTTGAAACCGATTTTCCTCATCGAAAATCAACAAGAGCAGTGTGCACTATGAGCTGTCCTGCTTGTGCGTCTTGGAAGCGTGTGGAGGCAAATAAGAGCCCCTACATTTCTAAACCACATTCCTTCAAGATGCATCGTGTTGCTGTCTTTGATGATGATGATAATAATGATGCACCACAAGGTGGGAACAACCAAATGTGATCTGAAGGAACAAAGAGGGTGTATTTTAACGTAAGCCCGACAAGGGAAATAGCCTTCAACTTTTCTGATGCCATGGCGTTTTCTACACGCGTCTTTGATCGACACCTAACAGTTGAGCCTTCTGTTAGTTTAAACCAGCTTGGTCTAACAGTTGGGTGTGGGAACAACCAAATGTGATCTGAAGGAACAAAGAGGGTGTATTTTAACGTAAGCCCGACAAGGGAAATAGCCTTCAACTTTTCTGATGCCATGGCGTTTTCTACACGCGTCTTTGATCGACACCTAACAGTTGAGCCTTCTGTTAGTTTAAACCAGCTTGGTCTAACAGTTGGGTTGCGGTCACAGGTACATGGTAGCATATAAATTGGAAGCCATAGTCAATGTGCACCAAATACGACGAAGTGCGACTGAATCCGATAAAGGTGGTGGTAAATGAATTCTCACAGATGCAATGCGCTCCTTTCATCCGAAAAAAAAACTGAAACAGACTCATTTTAAATAAGAAAATTTCGAGTCGAACAACCCTTCTTACAGAACACTGCTTATTCTGTAAATTAGACTGTGTTCAAGTTCGTTAGACAACCCCCCATAACGAAACTGGTAGCATAAAACAAATCAGAATAGTTTACACCAAAACGGGGAAGCCTGCTTCAAAAGCGGGAAGTGTGCGTTGAAAACAGGAATACTGATGTATTTATTTATAGAAAACATAGAAAACGAAAATAAACTGCCGAAAAAAGGAATCTGAAAAGATAAGTGATAGTTGTCTATGTACGGCATAAAATTGGAAATTGTCCCGTAGCTTTACTGTGCCTACCAATACACTGCATCGTCAGGTGGCTTAACATAACCAGCCAAAATTAAGACGAAATCTACGATACTCCAGATCCCAAGTCCACCAAAGCTGAAGAGTTTGCCCAAACCTTCCATCCACATTCCCAAATAGAATCGGTCTGCACCGAAACCTCCGAAAAACAAACTCAGAAGTACGGTGACCAAATAGCTCTTGCCGGAGGACCAGTTGCACGTGGCCATTCGACGAAAAACACGCCTGCCTAAACAAAGTGTATGGGCATGAGGTTCGCATAGAGTCTCATAGAAGCTTCGAGGAACATTGGTTTGACGACAGTTTCCGCGGCCTATGCAGAACACTTCTGTGTCATTCAGCTGGTGACAATAACGACAGATGAAGTTTCTGATCATGCTGTAGTTTGTATGCTGCCCAACAGCCATGGTGACTGCATTGGGAGACGAGGAGTTTGGTGCATAATTGGGAATCCGACAAAGCACTCCGATGGTGGGGCGGCACGAGACAGTAACATTTGAACCATACACACAGGAAGTGTTGAAATCACACGTTAGACAATAGGCCGGCAGTTCCGAGCACGCATAAAACAGTGGCGGGCATAGATGGAGGACGCTACTGACAGTTTCTTCAACGCTTACTTGTTCCGTTACGGAGCTGTTTTTGTTGTGGTTTGATTCAGCAGCAATGCTTGAGGAAGGTGATTGTGTGCTGGGAGATGTCGGAACATGCAACTGATCCGCACAGGAACTTGCACAGATGAGCAGACCGATAGTGACTGAAAGTTGCGCGCGTGCCATTTGGAATAACAGCTCAAAGCATGATACCTAAAGTATAGAAAAACAAGATGCTATTGGCACTAAAGAACTGTAAACTAAAACGGGATACACCAAACGAGAATTCATATTCCTTCATATTTTTAGGACGAGGAAGATAGCAAGGATATCTTCACTGACCTGATCCACTGTTAAATCGGTCAGGCGACTGGAGCATGGATATGAATACATGAATACATTTGAGGATCCAGCAGCCCTAAGACTGTCAGCATCCAAATTCATTTTGCGCATTGTGTTGTCTCTGATGCTTCATTGCCGTACAACCATGAAGTTCATTTGATTATATTTCAAGCCTTAGAGTGAAATGAAGGGAAAAAGAGTGGGTCCGAGAGGGGACCTCGTGCTGGCCTATCGCAAGTATTGAGGTGCCTATACCTCCACGCACAACCACCAACCCACCGCTACGCACTCCTACGCTCCACAATAACGCACTGATGATGTCACCTTGACTGGTAATGAAAAGTTTGCAATCAAATTGCCCAGCTCAGCGAACAAGCCAACGACCACCATCTACGCTACCTGAGCTGCCAACATTTTCCTCTATAGAAAGCGCTCTTTCAGACAATTTGGGAAGAAACTGACAGCACGAACGCTGCTGACATCTATCAGCCACCATTTCTTGCAATGTCTCCAGACTAGCCCAGGCTTCCCAGGTTTGACCAAGTGGACCCCATGTGGAAGTTATATTGCACCAACAACACCCAAACTCTTAATAATCTGTTCCACACCTTTCTGCCAAATTATACATTGTCCAACTCGCGGTTTGTGTCATTCTGAAGAAGGCACAAAGAACAATACTCGCCCCGGTAGGTTGCATCAGTCCCACTGGTCTATATAAAGACTAAAGTTCTATCCATATCGAAAAGTTCGGGGCAACTTTTGACAGCCTGCGTTGGTGTGTCAAGGATCGAGTTTGCAATGCTGTAGGAGTTTCATATTGTTGTGCGAGTCACAAATCTGGCCCTGCGAGCCAAGGCCGTTAAAAACCTAGTGACTGAACGTCGGTATCTTCATAGCATTGCAATAGTCTGGTGAGAACATCGGAACAGTAATGCTAAAGTATGCCGAATGGTGAAACATGAATAAAAAGCCCATGACATATGAGCTGATCGCAGACTAGTTCGCTCTAGCTTAGTCACGTGCTCCGTATACCAGTCGACTGACTCCCGCGAATGTTTCTTTTGATTAAGCACGTGCGTTGCAATGATGATCCAGGAGAGATCACAGCGAATTACCAGCAAATTAACTGCCGTCTCCCAGGATGGAGATCCTGGCATGGGACACATCAAGGACGGGAGAAGTTGTCAGACACAGCCGAGCTGCATCCTCAGTGGCGCTCAGGCGTCCAAGCTGTCTTTAGTGTGTAGGTTCCCTCGCAATCTCTTAAGTAAACGTCCACAGTTGGCCCTGCACTAATGCGTTACTTAAATCATCTCCCGCATCTAATGCAGATACCTACCCCCCCAAATCCTCTGTGAATGAAATTGCAGCCACTATTAGCACATCAGGGCGGGACCAATTCTTGCACACAACCTGCCCCCCACCCCGCCATGCGGTGATGTACATGTATGTAAAAATAAAAATAATGGTTCAGCTGTAACACCCTTTCGGTGCCTAGCTGCCAGGTCACCCGAAGGAATCAAGAAGGCTGTGATACTACCGGGTTGTCCAATCCTGGGTGGGTGAAGTCAAGATGTAGAGGTCGAGTTCGAATCACGGACCTTTCGGTTAGTAAGCTCGCACTTTAACTACTGAGCGATCTCAAGATCGTACAACATACAGGCAGCTTGCAGCTGATGATCTTCCAAGAAGGAAACGCTCCGTTCACGAGTAAAGTCCGATGTGGACCGCGTAAAGCTCGACGGCCCGGTCATGGAAATGAAAGTTGATTCTACGTATCTTGAAGCAGCGTAGCAGCTATGTGATCAAAGATTCTAATAAAATCTAAAAGTACACTTCCACAGAATACCGGCGTTGCCATGCTCCAGCCTAAGACTCATGGGTAACGATCACAGTGGTGACACAAAATGACCTTGTAAGCTTCTATGCTGTTCAGGCCGAGAGAAGCCTTGTAGATGAATGTGGGTCCCAAATCCCTTCCCGAAAGCTTTCTTGGGCAGCCCGCGCGGGATATCTGGTAACATTATGAGTAATGGTTTTCCGGATCGGTTTAATCATGTCCCGTTTCTAATCTCGCGAAACACTTCCGCTGTCTGTTGATATCTGAAGCAGGCAAGGTGTCAGGTCTTAATGGATGTTGGGTAGCGCCTTGGGATAAGGCGACAGAGCTTCTTTTCTGACACTTAATGGTTATTTAACGTACGAAGAAGTTCGTGTGTCCGTGTCACAAGTTGTGGCAGTTACGCACCAGTACGTAATGTCAATGTATTGCTGTCAACAATGATAATGTGTTTTTCATACCGCTTTTATCTGTGGCTAAATAGTTCCGTTAACGTGACGAAATCGGTGTTTTTCATCTGTGGATCCAAATATGTAATCTGAGTGCAGTTCATGGTCGTAATTCAGTTCGAGGTAGATCGGTTGTTTGGTGCCTACTGGTTTCAGTGGACACTTCGTGCTGCACAAGGTGTGCAGAAGAGTGGCAACTGATTGGACAGGTTGTTCAATAAAACTGCTTCCAGAGCCGCACGAGAGCAGTGCTGCCATATGTTTTCCCCATCATACTCCAAGACCAAACCGTCTTCAGGACACCACCGACACATTTTGCGCAGAATTTCGTCTTTCGTCCGCTTCGTCAGTCCGCTGAAGCTGTTTTCCGGTTTGTTCAACTCCGTGACCTACTTGATCCATACTGGGGAGTGTCCGTGAGACAGTTACAGTCTCTTATACTGTCTCAAGAAGAACAGACAGACCAACCGAGTCGAATGCGCCTCGGAAATCCAGGAATACTATAATCTTGGGTCGCTTATACGTATTGCATTGTTCTAGCACCTGACGCAGTGTGAAGATTTGGTCAACACAACCCCTACCAGGCCGAAATACCGCTTGCTGCTCTCGAGTCAGTGTTTGTGGTCAATCCGGCAGTATCCCAGCTCATGTATAACCATGAACTACACAAATACAAGTAAACTCGGCCACATCGGCCGTCGCGTGGTGCCAAAAACCGGGTCTCCTCGGTCGCTGCATACAACAGGACTGGTAAGCGAAAACAGGCTACTGTTAACGCCTCGTGGTGCCAACGGGTCTCCTCGGTCGCTGCATACAACAGGACTGGTAAGCGAAAACAGGCTACTGTTAACGCCTCACTTCCTTTTCTTCCTTCCACTTTTTCTTCCACCTCCCCATCCCATTGATAACTCTCCTTGCAGACCCAGCACTTAGGACTGATGCCTCCGTTCGTCTTGCATCGGTTTCGCGCACAACATCTGCTCGTCTTATGGCAACCACATCGTCAGGTACGTCCAGATCAATCTTCAAGCCTCGACACCGTCCATCTGGCCACCTTCAGTGTGCACACTCTGAAGCAAACAGTACAAAATGGTGCTCTTGCACTCACACTGGACCCGCCTTGCATTGTTGTGTGCTGTCTTAGAAACAAGAATTCAAGGTGCCAGCACAGTGATTGAGCTAACCGCCCCATCACTCCACTCGCTTCCGGCTACGCAACTCTGGTGATCCAGAGACTGCTGCAGCGGGATGTGCAGGGGTTGGCGTCGTCCTAAGTCACCGGACGGAATTATCTTTGCTTGACTGGATACCTGTTGATATCCGCCTCTATGCGGCTCGTCTGGCAACGTGCATAAAGGAGTCTCACAAGTGAGAAGTTGATAGGTGTTTGTTTATCGTGTCTGCCTATGCCCCAACTGACTAGCTCCGACGCCATCAAAGACAGGTTTTACAACCCAGCTAAAACCCCAGATACCATTGTGGTTTTTGGAGGTATGAATGCACAATCGGACAGACCTGGCATATCTGAGACTCAATAAGGAGGTCGACATGGATCGGATCCGATAGGTGAGAACAGCGGTGAACAACTGCCTCAGTTGTGTGGTGACCACAGGTTGTTTTTTATGCAGTACTAACTTCCGAAATAGCCACAGCCGTCTGATCACATGGTGTCTTCCAACAGCATGGCGGCCGCAAGCCCAAATCGATCACATTACCATCAGCTGCCGATGAAGTGGATCAATAACTGACTGCTGGTCCTTTTGGAACAATTTTGTGGATTCCGACCATGTGCTCGTCCGGAGTCGCTTCTTACGGTTTCCGGGGCCGCGTACGATGGGGACAATCCGCTTGGCAACTGGAAGACTGGC